AGTATATGTATATGGGGCCGAGCTGACTACTTGGGGCCGAGTTGACCTGCTTCCATTTTTGCATACTTTGTTTAATCATGGAGGTATAATAGAATTAACTATTAAAATACTGTTAAATAAATGATTTGTTGACTACATTTCCACAACTAATACTTTGGGACATGATTAATAAGACATTAAACTGTTGATCTATAGTGAAAAACAAATGTGGATTTTTAGGCAATATTTTGAGCTCCCATATTTTATAGCTCATTTCCTCAATACTGGCCTGTGCAACAACTAACTACTCCACCACAACATGCCTCATATAATATATCCAAATAATTCAGTAGTGGTAAAGGTAGGTTACTATGTGAACAACCAAAATATTCAAATTAAGCTGAAAAAGTAATAACACTAAACTGTCCACTGAGGGAATACTACTATTCAGACACCTACAATATGTATTAGTGTCCAAGAAAATCTATTAAACGTTGCTATAAGATGGCGGTACTGTAATATGTAAAACTGAACAGAAATCAGTGCTTTTTGATAACAAGGAGCTCAAACGATTCTTGGAATTTAGTGCGAGAATAATATGTGATGTTATCAGTTCTTAGGTCTTACCCTTGTCACAAATCAGAACGTCCCCAATTATACATACCTGCACGCCTAAAGAAAGTTCCAGTTTCTTTCCCAAGGATGAGATCAAGTAACTTTGCAATTGGAAACGATATCAGTATCATTAATAACATTAGCAGCCATACCAATGGAGCTAAGGTAGCACCAATAGCTAGTCCATACCGAGTGCAGATTGCTTGTGGAACAACTCTATTAAAAAAGGAAAACATTTAAATACCATTTGGAGACAATAATTTATGTGTAATGGAATAAATATATGCAATATGCCTCTTTTACAAGTTAGTAAAAACTTGATAAAGATTTATCTTTTCATATTCAGAATACACCTTCCATATAAGCAAGAAGCAGAATATGAAAGATCATAAGTATATCTTTTGTTTACATCATCACAATGCCTGAAATATTCATTTTGATAAGGATAATCAGCAACATTTTTTTTTTATAATCCACATAGGACTGACAGTTTCATTCATCATGTTATTACTGAAACTTGGTATTTGTGGACAGCAAAAGGAAATATCTTAAACTACAAGCACGGTAAGAACTTTTATATAGGAAAGAATTTTGCAACAGTCTATGATCGGAGTTGTGCCACAAGGATGCCATATAAAAAAGTAATTGTGATGAAAACAGCCAATCTTAAATTGAATAAAGTATATCATTAATACATTACTTGATACATTACTAGATTAACAAGGAATGACAGGACAAATTCACATTGTACATGCACCAGCTCTTCTTTGGCCCAATAGACTTGTGTGCACCCAGTACATCATTTGACACTAAGAGACCCTTAGGGGTACAGAAGTTACTGAATGAGATACGTCTATGTATGGAGTGCACTGAGTGTCAGTATGGCAGAAACAGGCACTATACAAATAGCCACTATTATTATTAACAAACTAAAATATTTAATTATTGTGCCTTCTACCTGCCGACTAACGTGTTAAGTGAAAGCATGTACACAAGGCAAAGGGTCTACTGACATGTACTTACTCGCCAAATATGAGAACAGCTGATACAGAGATCACAATTGCGATTATAGGATTTGTGATCTTGTCCAAGAATATCGGCATACTTTCTACTGCTGCGGCATTTGCAAGCAGTAATGTTACCAGCAGTAGGTGATGCTTCTCAACTATAGGAATGATTTTCTTTGCATAAACTTTCTCTTTTGGTTTACCACTCATGGACAGCACTTTCAAACTCATTATGTCTAGTGAGAGGAGTCCCATTGTCAGACCAGACATCAACCCTGCATAAAAGCACACATTTTACTTGTATATTTTAAGAAATTTTTGTGTGATATTGTGTATTGATGTTTTCTTGTATGCAATACATAGAGTGGCATATCTAGGAGTCTTGAAATGAGGAGGCTGATTGGGGGTTGGGGTGCAAAGGTGAAGTTGGGGCTCAGTCAATAATTAAGTGAGGGGAGCTACTGTAGCTCCTAAATAAGGTTATTTTTATGTACTTGAGCATGATGTCTTTGCTTCAAACATTTTTAATGTGGGGTGACTGGGGATAGGGGTTGCAAGATTTTATAGGGACAATGCGCTATACACCTCCTAGGTACACCAGATACAGTACCAAATTATTCCAGAGACAGAATTTTTTCACCAATACAGATTATATTTTTTTAATTCTTTTGGATTATTCTTTGTACTCATCTTCTCAAAAATAATAATTAATTTCAATGTGTTGCTACATAAAATTTCAGTTCAAAATAAATCGAATTGGGATTATTTACCGTACCAGCAAAGACTACTAGGCCAACATAGACTCCAAGGTATGTCCAGAATTCAGTGGTACTTATCTCCTCCTCATCAGAAATATAAACTGTTCCATTGCAGTTAATAGTTACTTGATCCACTCTTGTGCAGTTTAACATTCTGCAATCTCCGCCTGAAATTTTTGGAACCCAAACGGTCAGCATAATTTGATACTTAGTACTAGAAAAATATACAGGTCTCCCCCCAGTTAAATACCACTTTGGGACCAGGGTTTCTTTAGCAGCTTTGATTTACAATATTATAAAGATAAAAGTCATTAATAGTTTGGGACCCTAGAAAATGGTTTTAATTGGAGGGATACCTTTACTTTAATTTGCTTGTAATACAAAATGGTTATTACTGTAAATTTAAACTTTAACTAAGCCAAAGATAGGATCACAATCTTATTTCATTTGTTGGCTGCCAATGATTTCAGCATTAAAAACCCAATAAAAATAGCTTTCAAAAATTACCTACCACTGCCTATACTTCATAATGCTTAAAATAATTTGATAGGAAACACTCTGATTCTTGAAATTATGTAGAAAATAAAAATCCAATATTTATACAGATAGAAGTTTCTTCTAACTTCCTTCCAAAGAAACAGGCAAATAACTGGTTTTTGAAATCCTTGATAATAAAACCATTCTTAATAAAAAAAAAAAAAACAAGGCATCTAAGAAATTTAACAAAAGATTTAATAGTTTAATTGTCATATATAAATATGCAAGGTAGGCCTATACTAGTGCTGACGTGTAGCTTTTAACAAGTCTGAAATGTTTCATTTGCATATTTAAATCTGGATTGTTCCATTTAATGTATAGGGATTCTCTAAGTTTCAGTTTACTTTCATTGTCAGCAAGTACAGTCTACAATTATACAGAAAATAGAATATTTCCAACACATTTAAATTTGTATTCCATAGTCCATTTGGGGTACCATCTTTAGTACTAAAGAATTGGCTAATTTTGGTAGTACTGATTATAACATACTATATATTTTGTAATAAGATCTTGTATTCTATATTTTACGTTTTCTGATAGTTATAAATACAGAGAAATCAATAACTTGGTTACAAGAAATATTTCCAAGTAAAAGCAGACATGGCTTAATGCATGGTTTATTCAAGCACTACCATTGTTAGCTTTTACCAAGGCTCAGAGCTTTATACAGTTCAACTTCAATGGTTTTAATGGCTTTAACCAATAAGCCATAAAAAAGGTTTCATCAAAAATAATTTGACATATAGCTGAATTTCTCATGGGAAAGGTTAAATTAAATTTACTTTGCACACCTGTTTCACTTAGTAAACAATACAGGCTTTGTGGTACGTCTGAACAAGATACAAGACTCACCAATGCAATAATTTCAATGCAGTAACCTGGTTACATGTACATTCTATTTTTAATAAGCTACAGTGTGCCTTGAAGTTTCGTAATATTAAACCAATGTCTTTGGAAGAAATTCATACTTAAGTACTGTTGCTAAGTCAGACAGGCCTATGTACAACACATGGTACTAATTTAAAAAATGATGTGTACAGTATTTGAATATTAGAACATATTATTATACACTGTAGATAGGTAATAATACAAATCAATCAATGAATAAAGCTACCTATTATAAGCTTTTATTGGGTGTCATGGCAACAAGTCAAAACAAAATTATGGATCCGGAGAGCCAATAGAGCTAAAGAGCTGTACAGTATAATTTTTCCAAATGGCGACAAGAAAATAAAAAAGACAACATATCACAAGATGTAAGTAACCAGCTACTATAATTGTTGGCCTACTCTTTTTTAAGTATAATGTGTTGTGATCATGATTGAAATTGAACTGGACATAAACAAGATATAGTGTAAATATTTTCTGAAGGAAGATTCAACAATATGTTAGCAAATGGTTAGTAATTTACTTACGGTAGGTGGTTTTTGATAATTCTGCCCTGCAATTAAAGATTCAATATGTTAGCACATGGTTAGTAATTTACTTACGGTAGGTCGTTTTTGATGATTCTGCCCTGCAATTTATTCTTGATAATCAATACATTATTTAAAACGTCAAATTAAAGCTGAATACTAGCTTTTGTATTTATTCTATAATTCTACACAATTAAATACAGGATGGATGAAAATCTATACAAACATTGTAATGATAGTAAAAAGTAACAAAACCGTGCAGCAAATTTTTGTGTTTAACAAACTGTATACTGTACAGCTTTAATAGCTAATTACACCACGGCTGAATTAACGAAAATACCACGAAAAAATAGGATAGGCCTAAAAACTATATTTTGGTAGCCATTTTGGCTCCAATGGACCCAATTTAAATCCACTGGAGCAGATGTTTAGTACCTTTGTATATTTTAATACACCATTCACTAGTGGACCAAATTGGAGCCACTGGAGTAATGCAGCACTTTTGGACGAGTTGATTGGCCAAGAGGTTAAGACAGGGGCACCGTAACCTTCAGCTCTAATATCGGCGCTGGTTCGAATGGCTCACTCGCCAATGGTTCCGGTGATGGAACAAGTCTTCTCAGATAAGGACTTTAAACTGTAGGCCCAGTGTACGCATTTGGCTCGTGTGTACTTTAAAGAACCCAGTACATTCTTCTAGAAGAGTAGGGGGTTACCCCGGTATACTGGTCCATTAAGTCCCCTGTTGTTAAATGGATATGCCACGTAGGACAGTGATTAAGTTCACTTATTTGGCATATCCTTGGCGCTGGTGCCTAAAGAAGTGAAATGAAAATATAAAAGTGATAGAGTATAGGATACCTGCAGAGTCTAGGACACTTGAAATGGAGGAGCTGGTGGGGGAAGGGGTGCTTGATAGTTGGCCTACTACCACGGTGTTTCAATGAACCGGGGCCCCGCCCCTAATAAAAATATCTAATAAACCAATGCATTGATAAAAATCTAGATTGATAGTATTTATCTTTATATAATACCTGTACTGCACAGTATACAGTAATTTAAAATTGTTAATAACATAACCCCCCGTCAGGTCATGGCGCCACCCCTGGCTTGGACTTGCCTCACTTTAGTCTGCGATAGTATTTCCATCACTCAAGCAATGTCACCGTGCCTTCTTCCTATGTCAACAACATTACCACCATCCGTCATCTTTATCATCATACAGTAACTAATAAATTATCATCGTCGTCTTCATCATCACTTTCATCATCAATTCTCATCACCATTATTATCACTTATTTCATATTTATTCTGGGCATCTAGGTAGGACCACTGAGTCTCCATCCCCTATTTTTCCCTGATTCTTATTACCCTATTACAGTTTATACCTTTATTTTTTTCTTTTTGTTTATGTTATTAACAATTTTGTTAATAACATTAAAAAAAAATCAATTATACATGCAATATTATCTGGCCCTTTCCTCACTTTAGTCTGCGATAGTATTTCCATCACTCAAGCAATGTCACCGTGCCTTCTTCCTATGTCAACAACATTACCACCATCCGTCATCTTTATCATCATACAGTAACTAATAAATTATCATTGTCTTCTTCATCATCACTTTCATCATCAATTCTCATCACCATTATTATCACTTATTTCATATTTATTCTGGGCATCTAGGTAGGACCACTGAGTCTCCATCCCCTATTTTTCCCTGATTCTTATTACCCTATTACAGTATACCTTTATTTTTTTTATTTATTTTTTTTTTCATGTTATTAACAATTTTGTTAATAACATCAAAAAAAAAATCAATTATACATGCAATATTATCTGGCCCTTTCAAGCTTGGACTTACCTCACTTTAGTCTGCAATAGTATTTCCATCACTCAGGCAATGTCACCATGCCTTCTTCCTATGTCAACAACATTACCACCATCCGTAATCGTCGTCGTCTTTATCATCATACAGTAACTAATAAATTATCATTGTCTTCTTCATCATCACTTTCATCATCAATTCTCATCACCATTATTATCACTTATTTCATATTTATTCTGGGCATCTAGGTAGGACCACTGAGTCTCCATCCCCTATTTTTCCCTGATTCTTATTACCCTATTACAGTATACCTTTATCACCTGGTAGATCTGTCCATAGAGGAATACCTACATGGTTTGTCTGTCATTTATAAACCAAAAACTGACTTAATAACTAAACCAGAAGTCTGCTATTCAGAAATCTTGTGGGGGTTTCATTATACCGTGTTACTTACGTTTCCATCCAGCGTTGGGCCCACTTGTAAACATTACTATGTAGATTAATATTACCATAAAATTTACAATTACAATGCCAATAACCGTATTACATGTTAGAAGCGTACTCGTCGCAGCCCTAAATGAGTATTAGAGCAGCTTTCTAAATTCGGAATGGAGCCACTGGAGCACAGTATATTAAAATATCGCCGTGGCTAGAGATACGGTACCGTATCGGAACTTCCGATTGCTAAAGGTACGGTAAATAATATAACGTCATGATTAGCCAATAGAAATGCCGATACATGCGTGACGTCATTCAGTGCACTGCTGCAGCTGCAGCGAGTGTGTGTTAGATGGTTTTAGCAACGGTCGAAGATAAGAAATTTCGTTCGCTTGCGGGTGTTGTTGACAAGCTGTGATTAATATTCTGTAGCACGAGGCCCTATAGCAAATATAAAGGATAGCAGTTTTGCTAGATTTGGCGACATCAAGCGACTGAGTAAACTATTTTAATAGTAGAAGCCAGGCCTAGGCCTTAGCTACCCCTGCTACTGTGCATACTACTTTATTTTATTTATTTATTTTATTTATTTCAACAATCTTTAATGAGGGTGATGGGCCCGCCACAGTGTAAGTAACACGCGAGAGGGCGCCTCAGTTCAAGTCTCGGACCAAAACGCGAGAAAACATGTGATTAGGCGAATAGGCAAAAGAGACATTAAAACAACAAAGGGAATAAAGTAGCCTAAATAAAATAATCAAATAAATTAAAAATAGATAATAGGCCAATGTATATGAGAACTATAAATCAAATCACTCTTAATTTAAAGAAAATACTACTTCCCTGTAGTATACGCACTGTAGGCCTATACTACTGTACTACTACAAATAAAGTTTACTCTCATTGATATACAATCGCCATGTTGCTTGGTTGGCTATTTCAATCAGCAATAATAACTAGTGCCAACTATTCTATAGGCGTAGCCCCTAGTAGTAGCACTACAGTACTAGGCCTAAGCCTAGTAGTACGAATTACAGTCAAACCGTACCCATGCCAACCTGTACCCACAAACCGTACCCAAATTTTGGTCAACCCGTACCCAGAATTTTAGTCAACCCGTACCCAGAATTTTAGTCAACCCATACCCATCTTTGATTAAACCGTACCCATCGTTGGTCAAACCGTACCCAAGTTTGATGAAAAATATTATTTACTATATAGAACATTACGCAAATTTATTGTCTATTTAGATACTAATCATATCATGTATTATGAACGCCTAACTTACCGATTAGAAGATGTATTCTAATGTTTGATAGGATGCATTCAATCAAGAAATTTATGATCGCCGAAGAAGCTGAACACGCAAGTTGGGGGCGCTACATATTATGGCTCCATTCGTGGTGTCGTTATTTGTTTTCACAATGTTTACTAGGCCTGATACATTTAAAAATACATTTATAACTGTTTGTGTTATACCAGTAAAATTTTGCCCAGGTTCGGTGTTCTTATTTTATTTTTTATTTTTTTATTTTTTTTTGCCTATTTCAGGCTCAAAATTTTCTTGACTAAACATATTTTTTTTTTCAGCATGATTATTATTGTTTTATTAACGATTGCTATTGTTTCATATTGTATCAGAGAAATTTGAATATAATTTTTAGCATGTTTTCAAAATTTAGTTATGTAGTGTTGAATATTGAAAAACAATGTTCTTTTTCTTCTTGCAGTTCCCTGAAATGAAATGTCTAGTGTACAATACATAGTTATATTTATCAATTTTGGAATTATTCATAAAAACCGCAGTGTTCTGTTGCGGAATTGATGTAATTTATTGAATCAAATATACTTTTATATCTGAATTGTAAAATTATACAAATAAAGTTACTGTTACACACACGTGCCCCTAGGCGGGTATTCGGCCTATGCCCTAGGCCTAAGTAGACCATTCTCTATGGTAGACCATAAAATATGCAAGAATAACAGAAAGGGCTTTTAACCCAAACATTGTGATAATTATAAGCCCCAATCGACGTACATGAAATGGGCCTATTATAACATAAATTTGATCGTAACTGTTCGCGACACACGTTTCTCATGATCGCGACGTCGACTTTGCAAAAAATCCAAAATCGAGTTGGTCATTTCTATTGGCTAATCATGACGTAATATCATTTACCGTACCTTTAGCAATCGGAAGTTCCAATACGGTACCGTATCTCTAGCCACTGCGTTAAAATATAGACAAGTATCTCATCCTCCAACCCCCCTCTCCCACCCCCAAAAAAAGCTTACACCTCTATTCCCCTCCCCTAGTCTTCACAATCTCCTCAATCTTCCCCTCCCCAGTCTTCCAAATCTCCTCAGTCTTCTTCCTCCCCAGTCTTCCCCCTCCCCCCCCAGTCTTCCCCCCCCCCATAGAAAATGTCCGAAGTCCAACAAGAAGTGCAACTACTGTAGGCCTAGACCCTACTGAAAAATAGTTATATTTTACGATTTTTTCAGTAAAATCTGTGTGGATTTTCTGAAATACGCAGACAGATTTCTATGCCCAATTTTTGTGCAGAGGATCATACCCCAAGCGGCCTTACTTTACAGTCCGGCTAGGCTGGTGTTTCTCACTTAATTAAAAATCACTTCACTCCACGCCCAGACCATGGAGTTATAAAATTAAATCAAAATAATTATAACTCCATGCCCAGACCCACATCCATATACCATAAATAAATATAGGCTAGGCCTGCCCGGGCCTAGCTCCCATCCATTCCATACCATATGAAAAGTAGAGAATACCCTAACTATGCCAGGCCTAGGCTAGTCACCAAATTGGCTACCTGAATATTACTCGTCCCAGCCTAGTTAGATAGGAATGAGGCCTGGGTCTAAGCCTAGGCTAGCTAGCTAGTATATAGGGACGAAACACCGGAACTAGTCTAGGCTAGGCCTAGTAGGCCTAGGCTACTTATATATTACGCTTAGGTAGGGTCTAGCCTAGACTATGCCGTTATCTCATCATAATAAGGCACTAGGCCTAGCCCAGCCCACCTTACACCCTGACCTAGCTAGGGCCGAATTATGAGATAACGTCATTAACTTGTGGAGAAAGCAAAATTGTACCTAATTATTTAAAATTTCATAACAGATCCAATAATCGCCGTCAAAACGGACTCTGTCCACAACGCGTACGAGTTTCTAAATTATATCAAAGATACTAGAAATACAAGATAGAGTTCTCCACACAAAAAAAGTGTTCCACCGTGTTCCACCGAAATGCATGGTGGGAATACGAAAATGGGACGCCCCTACAGCTGGATCTAAAAAAACTTGTGCCAAACTTTCGTTACCAAGTCGTCGCGTATTTTATTATCAATTCTCAACAAAGATACTAGATATAAAAACAAACTGGAATAGACACCGACATCGGTGAATACATAACCTCCT